TTGACAGGTGACAAAGACGACTACTCATCTAGTCATGTGAAATTAAGCACTTACGGGAATGGCAGGTGTGAACTGCCTCCTTTATACAGATTTGGAAGCATCCTATCACTCACAGAAAGTGCCGTACTAAAATCCCAGACAATTCTGGGATTATGTTAAATCCACAAAGGAGGCAAGTTAAGGCTGAGATGTGAGTCCCTGCCCTTTTACAGTCTGGATGATCTAGAGTCCCTTGTGATTTGGACAGAGCCCTGGATACTTAAAAAGAAAATTAAGTTTCAACCCAAGGAAAAGTGAAATATAGTTTAGGCAAAATCAGTATCTAACACTATGCCATTAACATTGATTTCAAGCTGCTATACACTTCACCTTATTTTTTACTTTTCAGACTAATTCCCATTCATCATTTATCTACTACCATTGCTTTAATGGATTTTTCCCAACCCTCCCTTTCCATCAGTCACTGGAAGTGGATGTTAAACACTGTTTCACCAGAGCACTAGCAAGTAGCTTCATAAAATGACTGGGGATAAAGTGTCTGGAGGTTACCTCTAAAGCAGGGTGTATTCCTTATGTACTTTTACTACATGTTGATACCATGGGGTGATAAAATCTTTGACATCTGGCAGTGTGTGTAACTAGAGCAGTAGCTCTGTGCAAAGACATATGGGCAAGAACACACAGGAAAACCACACACAAATACACTCCTTGCAGGTTTTTCTAGGACTACATAATGGATTCTAACACTAATCTTCTCCTTCACATTATATAAAACAGAAAACACCTGGGGCAAATTTTTTTTCCCTGGCCATAGTCCATGTCTGTTTATTAAAATTTTCTTCCATGTAGATAAAATCCCAAGTTTTCCTCAATGTCATGTTGCATTAACATTTTAAGAGAGGACAGACACCGGGCAAGGGTGTGTCTCAAAAATCTTCAGTTTGAGACCAACCTTGAAATAAGCAAGCTATATGCTTCATGCTGTATCCATGCAAACAGACTGCTAAGACTGTGAGAGCACTTTGGAAAATGCAATACTACCTCCATGCCCAGGTTTTCTCCGAGGAAAACTGAGGATGTCTCCTGCAGGTAAACCAAACTCCAACTTCTTTCTCAGTCTTAGTGACACAACCAAGAGTTTGAGTCTCTGGTCTCTCAGTTACTTTGAACACCCCAAATAATCCTCTCTGTCATAACAGCAAACCTCAAGCTGAAGAATTCCTGCCAGGATTTGCTGTGTTCACTTTGATGTGCCCACTGAAAGCAGCAGTGAAATTTTAAAATGCAGTTCCCCATTCTCCCTTCACAGCCATTGGTTCGTTCAGTCTGGGGTGAACTTCGTAGTGGACAAACTAAATTAGCTTCCAAGGAAATCAGAGCAGTAACCATACTCCAGGTTCACCATGAATGTACTCCATCCACATAGGTGGAAACAGCAGGATTCAAACTTATGGTATGCCTTTGAAACAGTTTTGGATCATGGGTAGTGGGAAAGTTTGATTAAGAGAATTACATTTATTTTGAAGTAAAGAGTCCAAAATGCAGATAAATTGAGATATTTGGTAGCGGCTTCACTACCAAATTCTGTGTTTTCCTCATCTCCTCTTAATACTTCATACTATGCACTAATGTAAGCACAGACATCATCTGTGGCTAAAGAAAATAGAAGATAAAAAATCTAGGACTTTAGATTATACCCTGAATAATTATGACAAAGGCTTTTTGTAATGACATAGATTAGTATCCAGCATGCCAAAAAACATCTAATATTTTGCATGACTATAAAACATTGCATGGTTCTAAACACATCTTTCTTTTTAGACAAGAAGGCCCGAGTGAATGCAGAATTTCTAATTTGAAAGCACATGTTTGCTTCTCATCCCAAGACTATTCATGCTTCACAAGGCACTGCTACCACCATATTTACTGAATAAAAAACTGAAGTACTAAATTCACAGACCAACAAACAAACACAAGTATAGTAAGGATTTTCATGAAATTAACAGGATTCTCTGAAATTACAAACATCTCCAAGTACAGAATGGCATTTATCTGACAGCAGTACCAGAAGGCACTGGTTATGCTATTTTAAATCATATGAAAACTTAAACTGACTCCCTACCTGACACAAACTTGAGTTTGAATGGCCACTGGCCCAGACCTCCAAATCTACTCAGCCTTCCAGCATAAGAGCTTTAATGCCCATTACAAGCACTCACAGCTTTTCTTTGCCCCCTCCTCTGTTCTATTCCCACCACTCCTGACCCAAGGGAAGTTGTCTTCTTCCTCTCCTTGTGCTGGCCTCATCAGTGGAACAGCAGAGCTGTTGGCTACCACTTCTTAGTGGAGACTATGAAACTGATTCCCAGACACTGAGGCAGATGAAACACTCTCACCTGCAGGTAAACTCCAGTAAATATAGAAGAAAAGTGAATTAATCAAAATTTTTGCTTTTAGGCTGAGTCTCTAGGGAAGCTTTATCCAGATCTCAAAATTAATTTCTACATTTAGAGGACTACTGTTGCTCTATGCCACATATCATTTTGAAAATGAAACAAACCCCTGCCATGCAGTTGCATGTGTACAATTGTATGCCAAAAATGTCTGATTTCTAAAAAAGATACATGATTGGAATGACTTCGTCCTTTGTATTGCATACAAAAAGGGACACAAGATTAATACATTTTCCCAGGTAAATTTTTTTCACAGAAAGCCAAACAACATGACAATCAGAAATATGACTTCTGAAAAAAAATCAGAAATTTCAATTAATAAAAATCAGGAATTTCAATTAATAAAATGCAGCACCTTCTAAAACAATTAATGAAAGATGTCTGCAATGAATAACACATCTTCATATCTTAGGAGATAACAGATCTACATCTGGATTTTATCCTAATCAACTGACATGAGAGTTAATCAGCTTCTCACTTAATTTTGGTTTTTTAAACAAACTACAGTTTTACCCTTTCCTCAACTGGAAAGTTAAAAGCATGTTGCCCATAAAAAGTTTCTTTTGTTTGGTGAAAACGTATACAGGAGACTGCTTACATTCCCCAGTGATCCTTCAGAGAAAAGTCTGGTAAGCTTGGAAGAGGAGATTAAATAGAAATGCAGAAAGCAAAAAAAAAAAACCAAAACAAGCATTATCACTAATTTAGTTTGACAAATCAGCAAAATTATGTCACAAAATTTCAAGACCAGAAATTCTTGGTCACATGTGAAACACAGAAATGTGATTGAATAATCTTTAGAAAAATCATATAAATTGGAAACTGTATGGAACACTGAAGAGGATGAGCAACAGCAGATGTTGCTACTGCACAAAAAGGCTGCTGCACACAAACACGTGTTCTACACAGCAACATTCAAGACACCCATTTTCAGTAGGCTTCCATGAATTCCTCTGCCTTTGCCATGACACCTAAAGATGCATTTTCAAAGAGATAAGAGTACTTTTCCTAAATGAGTCAGGTAGAAAATAAGTCCTACCTACAGCACCTTCTGGAAAATTTAGAAACAGGAAGACTAGATATCATAAATTTACAGATTTGTGACATGCTCACATTTACTATGATTGAAGGAAAGCAACATTCTTTCCACTTTTCATGGATTATATCAAGGGTGCCCCTTATCTCAGCAGAGCAGTTTGTTATTTACAGCAACTGCTTTTTCTATTTTTTTAAGCTTTGAGAGCACTCACACAATGACCAGCAGGGACAAAAGCAGCAGTCTATGCCAAAACACTTTTAATAATGTGAATGAAAAATGAAAGCAAAGGAACTAACTATGAAAATTGCTAAAAGCTTGATTTGCTTTTGTACAAGATGCTGAAAAATGTTAAAATACAAAAAGAAAAGAAGAAAAGCTTGTGGCAGATATGAGAGTCCCAGACACAATGCAAATTCTCAAAAACACTACTAGACTGCTTCCTAAAGGCTCCTATTCAGAGTGCTGAGTTAAAAGCCTCTCTTAGTGAAGTATATGCTAAACCAAAGAATTAAATAATAACCTAGCAAGTTTCTTGCAACTTTCTGCAGGTCAAATTCTTTAGCTGGTGAAGTGAAAACCTGCTTATTCCTACCAAGATGAGATTCCTCTGGCCCACATGCTTCCACAATAGGCAAAGGTGCAGTTATAGCACTCTGATGAGAAAATACTGTCCTTGACATCTTAAGAAAATATAAGTGCAACTCTTAATGTTACATTATATTTGGGAAAGCAGCATGGATACCAGCTACTTATCTGGGTAGTAAACATGCACATGGTTACAAAATTTACTTTCAACTACATCCTTCCTTCCTTTTTTCCTCCTCTTTACAGTTATGTTTATTCTGTGGACAGTTTCTAGGAATTTCAATAAATTCATTTGGTGACAGAATCCATCAAAATCAACCTACCCTTCAGAAGAAACTCACTTCCTCCTCTGCATGAATAAGCTACACTTCCAAATTCACACTGTTATATACTTCTAATTTCATTGAACTGCTTTGTTACATTTATTTTAAACACAGATATACACTTACCAAGTGTATATCTATTTCTATATCTTATCAAGGAAGTCATAAACACATTAAAAATAGGATAATGAATGCATCATTGAGTGAGACCACTATATAGTGTTTCTGGAAATATTTGTCTGAGGTGCAGCAGGAAGAAAAAATCAATCCCATAGTCCATCACTTGCAAATGACATTTCCTTTAGTTCTTGGAAACACTAGATACACACACAAAGGAACATTACTACAATAAAGTCCTACATGTCAGAGATCTCACTAATATTATAATTCCAAAATTACTTGAGGATCTTATTATCTCAGTAACTTGCTGTGTCAGGCAAATGGCTTTACACTGTTAGTCTAATGTTGTAAATGCATTTTTAAGTCTATTATGTTTTTAAGCTACTGCTTAAAATGAAAGACACTTCACATAAGGTTCCATGCTGACTCACTCAATGAATGTCCATGTTGGCATACAAATGATTCCTTTTCTTCCCTTACCTCCAGATGCTCTAAAATATAGGGAGGGTTTGTCATGCCAAGCCTCAGCATAGCTCCCTCAGGAATAACTTCAACCAGCTTCCACAGAAGCGTGGGGAGGTCTGTGCCAATGTCTCTGCCATAAGCCCCTGTGTCTTCACTGGTCAGCCATATCTCACAAACACCCTCTGTGAATAAAAGAAAGAGATAATTAACAAATCTGTTTTAGAGCTGTTTATTTTATCATACAGCTGCTCACTCTTTTAAATGCAGTATTTCACATGGCTATTATGCAGCCAGACTGGGTATTCAATTGCAAAGGGGAGGGAAGGAGAAGGAAGGCTTATCCCATGGGTAGCAGTGGGTTATTAAGTTCATTTTATGAGCACAAGAGTGCTACAACAATGCTGTAAATTATCATTGCTGTGGAGTGATTAACATTCACAGCCAATGACTAATTCTGTGCTGCCTCTACAGCAAGTCAGACAAGTTTAACACTCTGTTTTATTTTTTGAGTCTAATTCATTAAACACCGCAAGAGACATCACCCAAGCAGAGTTTGCACTAATGGTTATTACAGTAGTTAGCTTATTAACTGGTAAGCTTCCAGTGAGCAAAACCAGCTGTAAAGCACTGTGACTGACATTCCTCCTGAAGTAACTATTAAAATCTTGTATTCTTTTAATTATACAATTAGCAATGCAATATTAAGGTTGCATTGAAAAGGTTAGTGACCACTGCATGACTGAGTGATAATATGGGAAAACCTGTTTCCTGGCAGTTAATGCTTCATTTTCCATCAATCAGAGCCTTAGGAAGTAGTGCATTTGATTTTTATTGTAAATAGCAACTTCAAACACTGATATTTGGTAATAATATCCTCCTACCCAAAGAGAGAAAGATTGTACCACCCTTTAACAATAGTTGAAAGCACTGAGGTTTCATGCAGCCACTTCTGCCGGCCTGCCCAGCTTTCATCCTTTTTTGCAATACATTCCCTCTATCCTTCCTTACCACCCCAAAGCAAGAAATAAACCATCAAAAACAGGGTGTCTGTGAAGAAAACACCTGTGATTTACAGCAAGATAAGATACCATTAACTCAGTAAAGAGATAAACTTCTAAAACCAGTCATGAACTGGTAAAAGAAATTATCAAACACTAGAAGGTGCATAATTCATAAAAGCACACTTTGGGCCAGCAGAGAATATATCAGAAAATGTAAATGTTTATGTTACAAATTTATACTCAAATGAGGAAAACTTAAGCACATACACCAACTTTAATCACATAAAAAGCAATAAACCTAGAAACCAAATGTTTTACAAAATGTAAATCCAAGACTGCTACTCCTAAATTCACACTGCAACAATAATGGCAGAGAGCAAGCCATGCTGAGCATCAAAGTTAATCCTGTTGGCACAGAAACGTTTTCAAGGTAATTTATTACTTAGAATGAAAAACACTTTACAATTTAAGGTTAACTGGAAAACTTCTTACTTTTTAAGTTTTGCTTCAAGAATAGGTTAGTGAGGGAGATGTACAATTTGTATCTTGAGAGAAGTCTGGTGTAAAGCATTCCTGAAGTAGTAAGTGCTCTTTGGTCGACCATTTGCAGTCACAAGTTTGTAGTCACACTCAAACTGAGCTCCCTGTGCAGAATCTGCCTGCAGGACACAATTACACTGTGGATTTCAGTGCACTTGCTAATGTTTTTGGAATTCATCTCACCACAGGCAGTACCCACCATGAAACATACTCTTGGGTTTGCTGCCTGCCCTACATTTTCCTGAAACACATGAAGAAAGAAGTGAATTTTATATGCTGTATGTTAACAAAGAAGAGAAATGTAAGGAATCTAAATGATTGATAAGGTCCTGTTTTGTTTAGTTTGGGTTTCTCTATATGAGTCTCCAACAGCCATAGGAGCACTACAAAACTTATTGATTGGCTGAGTTTCTACTGTAACAGAGTAATTCTCATTTGCAAGCTTTCAATCTAAAGAGTTGCATGGGGTTTGAGTTGGATTTCCTTTTTCTTTTTTTTCATGAAAATGGCTAATGGAATACTGCCTCACAGTTGCCAAATGAACGCTAAGGAAAAAAAAAATAAATCACTGTCTAGGAATGGAAATAACATTCTGGTGGAAAACAACAGCGAGCTTTTAAAGCTGCATAGGTGGGGACCATTAGCCCCCTGGTGGGCTGAAACTTCAAATTAAATCACAAGAAGAGGAAGCAGCTGTAATAGTAAATCAGCAACAGCAGGAATAACTGTCTCATCTGCTCTCCGATCAGGGTGTTGAACAACAAGCAATGGGAATAATGCATGCTGAGAAATCCAAGGATGTAGTCTTATTACCGGGGGCAGGGAGGTGCAGGGAGGGGGAAGAACACCTGTATTTTAGGAAAAAGTTCATGTCTCAGTTTCAGGTTGACAAAATGGATCTTCAAATACTGAAAGCTACTGTGAGTGATAAATATTTACAAGGAGGATCATTAGGATAAATCAACTTTGTACATAACTGTGTGAAAGAGGTTTTGAGTGGACTGATTTTAGGCCATTTTTTTTTAGTCCTTTGTATACCCAGATTAGGAGCCTAAACTTACACCAGGTAAGAAGAGAAAACAATAGACCTCTCAAACAGTATTAATGAAATCAGTCAACACCTCTCATTTTCAGTCGACCCAGCTCCCCTCCAAACTCCAGCCTTCCACAGGAACCTGTTTAAATCCACTGTCTAATCACATACATAATATTTTTCCTTTCTTTTGCAGTGAACCTCATTCAATCATTCACCACTCTGTTACTGGGCAATTTTGGTGCTAATAAAGGCAAGCTGATTTTGTAAACAAGAAAATCAATCCAAACAGGAGGCTTCAGATGTGGAAACTCAGAGCATTTGTTACAGTATTAAGGCCAATTATCCCTATATCCAAGTAATTACAAGTCTGCCTTTGGTCACAGCTCATGGTTTTTTCTCACTCTGCCATCACTATCCAGCACAAAAGAGAAACCTTAAGAGTTGGCCTCTGATCTGCTGTAACTGGAGATTACGGAGAATGAAAAATGTTGGAAAAAGAACAGGTTCCAAGCAAATGAAGAAAGTTCTGAGCCTATTCCTTCTCACATGTCTCAATATAAAGAATACTCACTGCAGATTATCTGATACAGGTTTTAATTTCATTTCTGTGGGGTAAGCAATCCTTATCATGAAGGAGATAAGAAATCCAACATCTATCACTTTTACAAAATATGTGTATTCCTGGTTTAGAAACCACTTGAAATTATTAATTTCTTTTCTAAAAAACTTCTAGCATTTTTATTTTGCTTTATCTTCACGTCACTATTGTAAACACTGTTTTTGGCAGTACCAAACGTCCTTTAAACTGAAGTGTACTCCATCAGAAAAATTCATTTATTTCAATCTACAGAAAGATCTGAAGATGTTAAAATACTGGACACCAATCCCAGTGAAATTCTCACATTTGATAACTGACTGTACAAATTAAATACAATACCCAAATCCTCATGATTTTTCTTCTCCTTCCTTCCTTGTTCCTTCTCTTTCCTGGCAGATTTTTTAATGTGAACCAGAGTGGCTTTTCCAACAGCAAAATTCTCTGCAGGCTGCTTCAGTGGGAGGCCCCTGACTCTGACCTTCTCAGTAGCCCGCATATGCTTATCAACAACTGCCTGACCTCCTGGTGATTCCTTCTCCAACAGTGAATTCTTATGGCAGCCTGCAGTGCTGCACAGACCACAGAAATACCTCTCCCAGTGGTTGAGAAATTGAAAGACCATCTGCCATGGGGAGGCCTTACATAAACGTCTGTGTCTTGCAGACTTGAGGACAGTCAATCTGACCATTCCTGATCACAACCTTAGAAACATTTAAAAACAAAAAAATCATGGTCAAAGATGAAGGCTTAGAAGACACCAAATTCATTGTTCAGAATGAGCTTAGCCTACTTTATTTTCTCTTCAATTATTTGAGTTTTTCCTTATTTATTCAGCATGGATTTTACAGGAACCATTTACATACTTGATGCAGAGCATTGTGCTAGATTACTTTGCTGAATCAAAGCCTTAACTGGGAAATTGTGAAGAACTATGCAAATAGCAGAACACTGTACCAATCTGGATATAATGCAAGTTTAAACAGAAACTGAGATTTGGAGGATTCAGTTTCCTCCTGTAATTCTGAAATACTCTGCAAGGATTGATTCAGCGTCATCCAAGTGTCCTATTAAGACAGTTCAACCACATGGATCCGCACTGAAGCATCCCATTGCAGGGGCTTCGCTGAAAGAGAAAATCAAACTGGGAACAACTCACTGGTGCTAAGGGGGATTTGGAAGGATTCATTTCCAGTTCACCAAGAGACCCTTACTCTGATTTCATCTGAATGTCTACAGGGCTTCTGGAAGACAGAAAGAATGGATCTGGACACAGTCCTATACAAGCCCTAGTTATTCAGTAACTCACGCCAAACTGTCATAATTTGAGAATACAGGATTCTTGCATTCTGGCAAGCAGATGATACAAGTAGACTGAAGTAAAAAAGACAGTTCTAAGTTCATGGCTGCTGAAAGAGGCAAACTGTCAGGCTATGACCTAAAGGATCAATGCTTTTTCTGTATTTTGTGAAGTGCAGGTTCAGCACCATATTGTACAGATAAATGCATGGCTGCAGTTCTGCTCACGACGCACTATGTACAAACTGTCTCACAGCCTGTTTCTAGAGGATCTTTATTAATGCTCAAAACTATTTCCTCTTTTTAAAAGACCTATTTTTTTACCCTTCTGGACAGTCTTAAGGACATGGAAGATGGTTGTACACTCCTATTTTCTTTATGCTTGCCACAAACAGGAGAACAAGATCTGAACAACAACATGAATGTGGGCTGACCTACTACAATTGCAGCTGTGTTCTGAGTATTTCCAAGGACAGCAATACCACAGCCACTGTGGGCTATCTGTTCCAATATTTGATCAGGCTAAGAGTAAAAAGTTTTTATTTTCACCTAATTGCAATTTGCTGTGTTCCAACTTGTCCAACTTGTTAACTATCATCCTACCTCTGCAAGACCTGTCTGACTTCAAGACAGTCCAGCTCTGTCTTCTCTCAACTGTCCCATTAGGCCATTGCAAACAGCAATAACTCCTCTTAGCTTTCTTTTCACAAA